CGAAACCAGAAACCAAACTCACAACTGCAAGACACTCAAGGTTGGAGATGGTTGGAGGCCATCACTAGTAGAGGCCATCGCAACAAGGTTGGAGGTCCTCGCTACAAGGTTGGAGGTGCAATAAGGCAGGGCCACAGGGGTGTTGTTCTCGCCGTGGTTTGCTTTCATGGTGGTTCATGTAGTAGTGTATGTTGATGCATTTTGCGCCTCACTGTTTTGAGTCTTGTGCACCACCATCGCCTCCAACCGTGTAGCGACAACCTCCAACCTTGTTGCAATGGCCTCCACCCTGCTAGTGATGGCCTCCAACCGTTTTTCAGTGTTGTTTTTTGCAGTTTTGAGCCTTGTGGGCCGCAAGAGCTAGGATCAGTATGAAGTTCCCCTTGACTTGATGGAACGGAAAGAAGCACAAACCGCAAGGTGGTAGAGTCAGCGAACTTGTAGATGTTTAACAAAGTTTGGAAATGCAGTAGCGGCTTACTGCAAAACACAGGATTGGACAGCTTGTCAACAGTTGAAATAAAGCAGGTACGTGCAATCTGCGTCCAGATCATATCACAGCAAACTTGAAGTGTCTTCGTTGAGCGGTGACTTCAAGAATGCCCACCGCTCCCCTGCTGCATGGAAACAAAACCGAGTGAGACAGTATCACAAAGTTGTCCAATTGAAAGTGTCGTGAGTTGGTTGTGAAATCCTTGGAAACAGGCGTTGACACACACACACACACTTATGGATACTTATGGATATGCGTACTGAACTGACAGCGGTGCCACACGCCGGCCTAGGGTTCCAATTCCTAAGAGTACCGGTAGGGAACCAGCGAACCCTGGGGGTCTTCAAACGGAGAAGTGGCCCAAAAGGAAAAGATCGAACGACGAACGAACAGGCTGACGACGACCCGCTCGCATCTGCAGTTCAAAGAAAAGAAAGCATCAGATCTTCGAGGTTCTTGGCTTAGCCTCACGCCATGCGGGAAAATGGAAAAATGCAGGTACGTTCGGATGATCAGTCCGAATATCCCACTCTGTGACCTAGCTTCGTTGAACTGGGTCAGCCACAGAGTGCCCAGTTCCCCTGCTGCAAAACGAAAGCACCAAAAGCGAGAACAGTCCAAAAGGATCCCTGTGATTCCAAGGGTTACACACACACACACGCCTCCCCGAAGGGAGGCATGTGTGACCTCCATCCTGCCCGGAAAGGAGGTGGGCACATGTGCGCGCAAAAGGGACAGATGAAAATGAAAAGGACGAGACAGACAAAGGTGTGTGTGTGTGTGGTTGCCGATGAAAAGGAACCAAGTGAAGAGGGACAACCGCTGAGCCAAACCTCATTGTAACGAACCTGGGCCACCTGAACCTTGCTGTAAGTAGAGTACACGCGCGTGTATGTGTACAAACTAAGGTCCGGACGAAAGTGCGCGCAAGAGAAAGAAAGGATGAGGATGAAGAGACATGAAGACAGAAGGACATGAAAGAAAAGAAGGGAAAAAACGTCTGTGGGGGCGGATGAAAGGGGAACCAAGTGAAAGGGGACAAACCGATGACAGTCCAAACCTCATTGAGAAATCGGTTGCAGAAGCCTAGTTTGCTTGTAAATACGCCACGCGCGAGGAAAGAGGGGGGAGGGGAGGAGGAAAAGAGAAGGAGGGAGAGAAGGAAGCAAAGGTGTTCCCAGCTACGGCCCAAGCGTCCAAGGACACACCCCAAAAAGGTAGGGCTCCCAGCTATGACGAAAGCATCCAGGGACGCCCAAGGAAGAGGGTGGAGAGAGGAAAAAGAGAAGGAAAGAAAGAGAGAGGGAGAGAAAGGGAGAGGAGAGAAAGGAAGGTGTTTCCAGCTACGAACAATCGTCCAGGGACACACCAAAGAAAGAAAGAGGAGATCCTGAGTATTACATTCAGGAAAACCCCAGAAAGCAAAGAGAGAAAGGGGGAGGGAAGGGGGAGAAGGGGGGGCTATATAAGTTCTCCACAGGTTCCAATGAACCTTAAACTGGCTTTGACCGCTGTGGTCACCGTGTGCCCTGCCGAAATGGCTGGCTGCTTTGACCGCTGCGGTCACGTACAGGCATGAGCCAACTTGGAATTCCAAAGATGAGACAAAAATCATCGTACGTTCGGCCTAGGCCACCTTTGCCCGCTGTGGGCACTTACGTTTCCAAAGCAAGGGAAACAGCGACAAACCCCCGTTCGACGGGTCCACGGGAGGCACTCTGCGGGCTCATCCCGGGTTGGCACAAGGCCAAACACACTTATGGATATGCGTACTGAACTGAAAGCGGTGCCACACGCCGGCCTAGGGTTCCAATTCCTAAGAGTACCGGTAGGGAACCAGCGAATCCTGGGGGTCTTCAAACGGAGAAGTGGCCCAAAAGGAAAAGATCGAACGACGAACGAACAGGCTGACGACGACCCGCTCGCATCTGCAGTTCAAAGAAAAGAAAGCATCAGATCTTCGAGGTTCTTGGCTTAGCCTCACGCCATGTG